GGGGGGGGGGGGTGCGCAAACTGGAGAACCTAGTTTTAACCATACATTATTCTGAACACAATTTCAATTCTAAATTATTAGCAGGTTTTTTTTTTTAATGCTAAGGGTGTAGATTCCTATTTGAAGGGACTCTAGCCAACACCAGCTTGGCAAACATGGCTCTGGCAGCCTTGCCCTTCTCTCCCATTCCCTCTGCCTTACTTAAAACCATTAGATTGCATTCCGAAAGCTAGCCACCAAGGTCTATTCCCTTATTTGGCGGCTTCCTCCTCCTGAGGATGACTATCAATCCAGCAATCAAAGTACTGAAGTCTAGCCATCAAAAGCCTTTTGGCTCACCTAATTAACATGTCTAATTAAAATTAAACTCTTTTTAAAAGAGTTTATAAACAGAGTTTCCTCTTTTAACTTTATAAACTGCCATCTTTGTATGTGCCAGCTCTGTCTCCTTCTATCCAAAGACAGTCCTTTGTTCCCCTCCCGGACAAATATCACTTCCTCCTCTCTCCCTTGTTCCCTTCCCCTTCTCCCTCATCCTCTTATCTATTTCCCGCCCTTTGTCTCTCTGAGGCAAATAAATCTCTGTGCTGAGAAGTTGGTCTTAGAGTGTCTTGAACCAATACTGATTGGCTATTCATTATAACTTGACCAAGTCTGGAATTCCTAGGAGACATACCTCTGTGCCTATGAGGGCATTCCTGGTGGTTTTTAACTGTGAGAGACTCACCCTGAATTTGAGTGGCACTATGCTATGGGCTGCAATGTGACCAATTGTCATGCCTTCCCAATCATTATGGACAGCACTCTCAAAGTGTGAACCAAAATAAACTCCATCTTTAAGATGCTTTTGGCAGGGATTTTGTCACGGTAATGAGAAGGGAAAAAAGAATACACTAAGTCTTCAAAATCTGACATGCTATATGTACACGTCAATTCACACATCAGGTTTCTGTCATGAATATTTAATCAGTGTTTGGGTTTTTAAAAATTGACAGCATTCCATATCAAAAGCAGATTCCCACACCCAAGTTTCTCATAGGATACTGGAAAGTCTTCCCTTTTTGAATTCAGCTGTGGTAGACCACCCTGTATGAAATGCTTGGGTCCAAAAGTATTGCAAAATTTGAGGTTTTCAATTTTAAGTCTACAGACTGTACTGGCTGAACTGGCGAGCATCTCAGATGCGATGGATCAGGCATGCTCATTCACCCCGGCTTCACAATATCCATTAATGAAAACACTACAACTTTACAAGTACCCATCTCAAGTCACCACATTACAAGTCATCAGAGCAGGCTCACAGCCCCCAGGTCACATGTGGCCTCTCACCTGGCCCTTCTCCATACCAAGTCTTCTCCTCCCAGGCTCATTCTCTAGGATGTTCTCCAGTCTCCTCACTCAGTGTCCCCAACTCTGTTCCCTGTGCCAGAACTCTAGACCTAAGTGACTAAGATGCTCCTGTTTTACTCATGCTATCTGGAATTCTCTTTCTTTTTCTTATCCTGCCTAGCTCTCTTTGCCTTTCAAGGATCAGCTTAGTTACCCTCTCTTCCAGAAGTCTCCATACCTGCACCTTTGTGCTCCTACCAGAGCTGTGGGTAAGTACCACTCCACATGACAATCACAATCTCCTACATGTACTGAGTGCTAACTGTAGGCCTAATCAGCCTTGAATCCTGGCTCTTCTGGGCTGTTGGCACTGTACTTCAGATCACACATACCTCTGCAAAGGTGAAGTTGCTTGCCTCAGGTCACACAGCTGAGGGACAGTTAACCGTGCTCACTATCAGGAGTACTATCATCATGACAAGAAAAATGACCACCATGGAAAGGAAGGAGTTAGCCTGTCCTTACCAGTGCGACGCTTCGGGAATCCTGATGGGGAGATATCCATGGAGGGGCTGTTGAAGAAAGGACCATTCTCAGGACATGTGTCAGGGCTGGAAGGAGAGTTCTGTTTGGAGTCTGACACAGACTTCTGGAAGGAGACAAAAAGATAAGTTTTGGAATAAAGAGAACATATGCATTACCTGGCAGTTGTAGCTACCACACTTGAGAGCAGAATGGACTGTCTCTCGTGTCTGCCATATTTCTGGTTCCTCAGTCTCATCCCTACTCAGGCTACCTTCTCTCACCAAAACATTTTTTCACTCCATTATGAATCCCATATTAAGTCTGCCTCTTGAAAGTAACAGAATCTTCCTTTTCCAGCTGTACATCTGGTGGCCTAACTAAAAACTGATTGTACCAACCTCCCTTGGAATTAGTAGAATCATAGGCCTGAGTACTACATTTCTCTGCCTCCTCTGCAGCTAGTGTGCTCATGAGACTAAGGACTGTTTTTTCAGTCTTCCTTGTATCTTCCACAAGGTGCAAGGAGCAGACTAATTCTTGCATGTTATTATGTGACACTATACACCATGGTATGCACACGCATTACCACACATTGATAAAAAAAAAATTTTCTTTTACATAGAAGCAAGAAGTCACAAAGAAATGTGACCACGGAAAGCATAGACAGAGACCATAGGCTGGCTCAGCAGATGAAGAACAGGCTTCTAGAAGCATGAAGTGGTCTTCCCTACAGGCTCAAAAAAAAAAAAAAAAAAAAAAGGCACTGCCAATACCCTAAGATAACTCACTCAGGTACCTGGCCTACAGAATTATGGGTTAACTGTAACAACATAGGAAGCACTATATGCTCTCCATGGTGCACCTGAGGCATGACACTGTTAAGGTGCCGAATGAGCCCCACATCCCCGAGAAGAGGTAGACTGCGACCCTGTACCCAAACCTCCTGCTTGAAGTCACAATAGCAGAGATTACTTGTCTCCTCCTGGACCATGTCCCCAGAGTCTTCCTGTATAGCTACTGCACTCAGCTGTGTAAGTGAACGGGAAACTGTCAGGCTGAAGGTCAGCAAGATGGCTTGGTGGGTGACGGTGTTTGCTGCACAAGCACAGAGACCTGAGTTCTATCCCTAAAACTCATGAGAAAGTGGAAGAAGAGAACGCCACAAGGCTGTCCTCTGACCTCCACTCACACAGCAAGGATATATACACAAACACACAAAAATTAAATTTAGAAAAGAAACCCAGCAGGCTGTTGGAACCTACCTGAACTTTGGGGGTGCCAGGAGCTTCATCTTCCTCCTCCCCTTCACTGCTTAGGACCTGGGCTGCCTTCCTTCCTGACCTCTTCACTGGAGAATCACTCTCAGACACCAGTCGATTCCTCTCTTTCAATGCTACCCTAGAAAATGGGAGGGAGATGTGGGCCAAATGGCAGGCAGAATGGGGACACTGTCCAAAAAACTGCATTCCCTTCTCTTCCATTTCAGTGAGCATCTTCCAGGTACCCCATGGCATTCACTCTTTTTTCTTTTGAGATGGTCTCATGTAGCCAAGGCTGGCCTCAAACTCAGTATTGTATCAGCTGCTGACTTTGAACTCCTGATTCTCTTGCCTATACCTCATCAACACTGGAATTATGGTGTGGGCCACCATATTTAACTTTTTTATATGCACTTAAGTATTCTTCCCTCAGTCCCTCTCTCCATCCTGAGGCATCCTGCATGTCCATGTGGTGGTAACATGTCATGAAAAGCAGATGAATTTCTTGGCAGGGATCAGGCACCAATTTAACCATATGGGGGCACCATATGGAGACCTTCTACCTTAGTCACAGGAGTTTCAGCATGGTACACACCCAGGCAAGAGCGTACATAAAGAAAGGGAGACGACTATGCTAAGTCACTGTCCCCTTGATGCTAGCTCTGAGCTCCCAGCTTATGGAGACATAGGCATGATGGCATGTGTGCTGGTAGCAGTCACTCAAGTGCTTAGTGTCCTCAGAAAGCACACAGTCACAACAGAGGCCACCATGAGAACCAGCTACTCCATACTTCCTGATGACAGGCACTAATTCTACAGAACTTCTTTACAAAGAGGGAAGCAGGTTCATGCTCAGCACCACAGAAAGAGTTCTAAAGACTTTGTAGAATAGAGGAATGACCATCTCATCTACTTGGTTTGCCTCAAAACCCAGAGTGTCTAGAGCTATATCAGGCATATAGAAAATATTTGAAAGCTGTTTTATGAGTAAATGTATACATACAATCTCAAGAACATAATATAGAAGCAATATATAAAAGACTCGTTTTTGTTATTTAAAAGGTAAAGGTGCTTGTTAATGTATATGGATTCTACTTGAGCTCTTACAGTGGCAAACATGTAGACCCTAGCATGAGAGATACGTATCAGATATTCATCAGATATATTAAGCATCTACTGTGCCAATAACCATGTTGGCTGCAGCACTGCCAACTGGTCACAGTGCCTTCCTCTAAAGGAAAGAGGTCAAAAGCTTTTCATAGATTTTTTTTAAAAAAATTTATTCACTTATTGTTATGTGCATGAGTGCTTTGCTTACATGTAAATCTATGTACCACTGAATGCCAAGTGCCTGCAGAAGCCAGAAGGTGGCACTGTATCCCTGGGACTGAGTTACAGATGGCTGGGAGCCACCACCTGAGTGCTTGAGAACTGAACCCGGGTCCTCTGGAAAAGCAGCCAGTGCTCTGAACTGCTGAGCCATCCCTGCAGCCTCTAGATCTATCATCATCATCATTATGTGCCTAATATGTGTGGACAGATGCAAATGAGCACAGGTGTTTCAAGGCCAGAGGCACTCGATTCTCCCAGAGCTGGAGTTACAGATAATTTTTGAGCCACCTGACATGACATGAGTGCTGGGAAGCAAACTGTGGTCCTCTGCAAGAGCAGTTTGTGCTCTTAACTGTGGTATCATCTCTCCAGGTCCAAGGTCAAATTTCTACCATAGTTTTGAGTTAATGTTTTTACAATTACCATGTACAATTCCTATGTTAGACAAACAAAAATACCTGCATACATAATTAAGAATAATAAAAAGCAAATCTAAAATATATAGCATAGAACTGTTATACCCACAAAGAAGAAACAACCTAAATATTCACAAAAAATTAAATGCCCAATAATTTCTATAGTATATCCATAGAAGGGAATACAAGACAGAAAAAGGACTGCGCCCATGTTCCTGAATGAAAAAAAGTCCTCTAAGCCATAATGTTAACAGAAGCAAGCTGATGAAGAGTAATATATTATATACATAGCATGATCTAAATAAATCACAGAAAACAAACCATCATTTGCATGTGCACAGAGCAATGCATATGTCACAGTGACCAACCTCAACATCATAGCTTGACTCCACGTGCAGAATACCTCTTCTGCAGTATGCAGTGTGTTACAAATGGTACATGGGTTTACTCACTGACCCCATGCAGAAAGCATGTTGGATACTAGGCACCTTTTTACTCATGAGGAAGATAGAAGTGAGGTCTCCTGCTCAACATCTCAATTTGGGGATTATGAACTAAATGTATTCATATCCATGCTCTGGCCCAAAGGTTACCTAAGCAAGGCCATACACTATCTTTCCTGAGACTGTATGAATCGAAATGTGGCCAGTATCTCTACCCCATGGATAGGGTGTGGTCTAAAAAAATGCAAAGCAAACAGGAGCAGAGCCCCGACCAAGAACTCTGAAGTATTAGATTCAGCTGTGCCTAAAGTTGGACCTGCCTTTGGCTGCCAGATATCTAAATTAAAAATATCGTTTTAAGGATTGACACCTCTGCAGTAGGTTTTAACACACAAAAGAATCTTTTTTTTTTAAATTAATGGCTTTATTCTTTACAAATATCTCTTTTGTTAGATCTGTAGTGACTAGGGTGGTAGGTCACAGAAAAAAAATCCCCTGTCTCCATGTGGCTCCTTCCTTGTCCTTTGCCTCTGTGGGGTAAATGACCTCTTAAGTAAATAGATAATAAATAATAAATAAATAAATGACAGGGTTTTACTCTTATGGGAAATGGTCAGAAAGATAAGTAACCACGCAAAGCCCCTAGGGATCAGAGAATCACATGCAGAGAGACTGTCCTTTGGCTCCTGCCAGCCAAGACAATGGCTAAGACTTCCTATACTACAGGAAATAGGGCCATTGAACAGAGACACCCTGTAGCCATCAGAGAGGCAAGGACACAGCAGACTTCTAGATAGTAAGTGTTCAGTCTTTTAAAAACCAGCCTACTCAAGAGAACAGGCTGCCAACTGGGTTGCTGGTCAGAGGCCAAGCCAGTTAGAGCCCTCAACTGCCTTTCTGTCCCTCCTCGCTGCTGACTAAGGGTTTCTCTTACAAACCACACGCAAGTACATCTAAAGGCAGGAGATTGATTTTCAATTTGAATGACTTTACTTTCTCTCTTAAAATCAAAATCCTCATCCTAATGCCTTTAAGTCCTAAAAGTATAATATTTTCAAATTATAGATGGGAAAAAGGGAAGTGACAGACTGTGCTCACTAGGGAAAAAGGGAAGTGACAGACTTTGCTCACTAGGGGCGGTTGGATGCGATCCACCAGGCAGCCCTTGTCAGAATGTGTGCCTAAAATCTAAAGACTGTTTGCTACACCCAGCAGCTGACCAGTGAACATATTTCTCTCTCTGTCTTACCCTCACAATCTAAAGTGGGTGTTGGTGTCTGCCCTACTTTCTAAGAGCTCAGAAGGGCACACAAAAGAATCTTGACTGCTAAAGGCACATGCTCTGCCCCAACCCCTTACATACTTTGGAGGGGACTCCTTCTCTCTGATGCTGTTGGCTGTCTCCTTTTCAGGCTTCTTTGCTTTACCCTCTTTGGTGGGTTGGAAAAATGACCTGGAGGAGCACAGGGGGTGAGAGACATTAATAGCACCAATGCTTCACCTACCTGGGAAATACCTGTAGCTCTAGACATCCATCCCCAGCCAGGCAGGGCCACACACCAGGGATGTAGTTTAGTGGTAAAGGGCTTCCCTAGGATGGGCAAAGACCTTAGGATTTATTCGATTCTGAACAGTAAAAAAAAAGGAGGAGGAGGAGAAGCAGCATCAGAAGAAGAAGTAGTAGTAATAGTAGTAGTAGTAGCGGTAGTAAAGGGAAGAAGGAGAAGGAGGAGGAGGAAGAAGAGGAGGAGGAGGAGGAGGAGGAGGAGGAGGAGGAGGAGGAGGAGGAGGAGGAGGAGGAG